ATCAATGGAAATTATTCCATCTCTCAACAGCTGTTTTATGACATCATGTCTCAATTACATGTGTCTACTTTTACAATTATAAGATTTATTCTTTGCAATAGCGATTGCCGCTTGACAATCACAATGCATAGACACAGGAGGCAATACGTCCTTTATTAAAGGGATAATAGCTAAGAAGTTTCTTAGCAACCCAGCCTCAGAACCAGCTAACTCCAGGCTACAAACTCTGATTCCATAGTCGATCTAGCAATGATCGTCTGTTTAGCTGATTTCCACGATATTGCACCACCACCAAGGGTGAATACATAACCACTAGTGGATTTTGTCTAATCTGAATCAGAGATCCAGTTTGCATCACTGTACCCTTCTAAAGTAGAAGGAAATCCACTATATAGGATACCATAATTCATGATTCCTCTCAAATATTTCATTAGTCTAGCTAATGCATACCAATGCTCTCTGTTGGGATTATGAGTATATCTACTCAGTCTACACACAGCATAGGCTATATTAGGTCTTGTAAAATTCATTAAATGCATCAGACTCCCAATAATCTGCGCATATTTAGACTGAGCAACTGGATCACCATTATTCTTTTTCAACTGAGAGTTAACATCAAAAGGAGTGCTCACAGATGTGATATTAAAATATTCAAATTTCTTAAGAAGTCTCTCAACATAATGTTCTCGTGACAACATTATTCCACTTCACTCCTTATAACTTTAACTCCCAAAATTGTATTTACTTCACCCAGATCTTTCATATCAAAATTAGCAGACAGAAATAATTTTGTACTTTGCACAATATTTAAATTTGTACCAAATATAAGCAAGTCATCAACATATAGACATATTATCACATAATCATTGTCTACCATTTTAGTATAAATACATTTATCCACCTCAATTGAGGAAAAACTGTCTCTCAGTAAGACTTGTTCAAATTTCTCATACCATTGCTTAGGAGCTTGTTTAAGGCCATAAAGAGATTTAATTAATTTATAAACTTTATTTTCTTGTCCAGGAATGACACAGCCTTTAGGTTGAACCATATAAATTTCTTCTTCTAAATCACCATTTAGAAAAGCAGTTTTGACATCCATTTGGTGGATAAAAAGCTTACGAATTGAAGCTAAGGCAATTAAAACTCGAATAGAAGAAATTCTAGTCACAGGTGCAAATGTATCAAAATAATCTATATTTTGTTTTTGAGAAAATCCTTTTGCTACTAACCGAGCTTTATATTTATCTAAAGATCTATCAGGATTAAATTTCTTTTTGAAAATCCATTTACAACCAATAGGCTTTGCACCAGAAGGTAAATCGGTTCAAATTCATGTATTATTTTTCTTAATAGAATCAATTTCAACTTTTATTGTCTCTTTCCAATATTTAGTATCTGAAGAACATATAGCTTCAAAATAATTTGATGGTTCATTATCGACAAGAAAAGTTTGAAAATCATTTCCATATGAAAAATATTCTTTCCTAGGCCTTTTGCTCCTTCTCAGTTCCTCATTAGAGGTAATTTTATTATTTGTTTTAACAGGTGTATGAGTAACTTTTTCAAAGATAAATATATTCAAAGAACTCAGCATTCTTTATCTCAATTATAGTATTGCATTCAAGCACATCACTTTTTAAAACAAGAAATTTATATGCAACACTATGTTCAGCATATCCAATAAGCATACAATCAGCAGTTTTAGAACCTATTTTTCTCTTTTTAGGTTCAGGCAACAGAACTTTAGCAAGGCACCTTCACACTTTTAAATATTTCAAATTAGGTTTATAACCCCTCCACAATTCATACGGAGTTTTGCCAGTTCTTCTATGTGGTATTCTATTTTGTAAGTGACATGCAGATGATATAGCTTCACCCCAAAAATAATCAGGTGCATTAGAACTAACTAGCATGGAGTTCATCACCTCTTTCAATGTTCTATTTTTTCTTTCAGCTACCCCATTTGACTCGGGTGAATAAAGCGGAGTTACTTCATGAATTATTCCTTCTTTTTCACAAAAAATATTTAACGATAAATATTCTCCACCTCTATCTGATCTAATTCTCTTGATTCTTCTACTAAGTTGATTTTCAACCTCAGTTTTGTAAGAAATAAAAGCATTAAAGGCATCATCTTTATTTCTAAGCAAATACAACTTAGTATATCTAGAAAAATCATCAATAAAAGTCACATAATATCTTTTACCATTTCTAGTCATAGTCTTCTTCAAGCCGCCTAAATCAGTGTGAATTAAAGATAACAATTTAGTTTCTCTATTTACAGAAAAATAAGTTTTTCTAGTACTTTTAGCTTCAGCACATATTTCACACTTGTCAATATTATTTGAGTCTAAACCAGATATTAACCCGAGTGACTATATTTTCTTTGTATATGCGATATTAATGTGTCCTAATCTAGCATTCCATACAGAGATAGTCTCATCCATATAAGCAGAAGCAGCTACATTTCCATTGATAACATTAGACACATTAAGTACAAAGAGTCCTTGGTTACAATAGCTTTTTCCCACAAACACATTATTTTTGGTCATTATGATCTTATCAGATTCAAATGACACTTTGACTCCGGCTCTTCCCAACAAGGATACAGAGATCAAGTTTGCCCTCATAGTAGGAACATGCAGTACATCAACAAGGGCTAAAGTTTTTCCCGAAGTGAGTTTTAGAAGAACTTTACCCTTACCCAAGACTTTGGTAGTACTTGAGTCTCCAAGGTAGACCTCTTCTCTATCATCCTCTACAGGAGTATAAGAGGAAAATGCTTCTCGATTTGCACAAATGTACCGAGTAGCCCCAGAGTCTATCACCCATTCTTTTGCATATGCTACAATGTTTACTTGAGAAATGACAGTTGCAGTAATATCACCTCCTTCAGCTAAGTTAGCTTTAGGAGTATTAGTTTTTCCTTTGTCATTTCCTGCTCTGTACCTGCACTGTGAGGCATGATGGCCTGGTTTTCCACAAACAAAACAAGAGCCTTTTTCTTCTTTTAGGTTAGGATTTTTAGGCTTGTAACCTTGAGACTTATTCTCATACCTTTTGCGGTTGTTGTTGCTGCTATGCACTAAATTTGCTTTAAGAGCTGTCATCCTAGCTTTGGCGGATTCTTTTCTGTTGGAATCTTCAATTAGTATGCGGGTCACAATTTCCTCAATGGTGAAATTTTTCTGTTTGTGCTTTAAGTTATTTTTATATTCACTCCGTGAGTCAGGCAGCTTCTCAATCAGCACTCCAGCAGCAAACTTTTCTGGTAATGACATCCCCTCGGCCTTTAAGTCTTCTAACAAGTTTTGAAATTCGTTGATTTGTACGTTCATCTCTTTATCATCTCTCATCTGCCACTGATAAAAATTTTCTATTACAAATTTTTGTTTTGTCGCATCTTCAGCTATGAATTTTTTAATTAAGGCTTCCCAGATAGGTTTTGCTTCTTTATAGCTACAATACACGTCAAACAATTCATTAGAAATAGTTTGCAATATGGTATGACGGCATACCTTGTTGGCATGCTGCCATGATTCCACTATTTTATTATCAGCGTCTGCACTAGGTTATGGATGCAGCAGTGCATGTGCAACACTATGGACATCAAGCAGTGAGAAAATACGTTCTTGCCAACGCTTGAAATTTTCATTGGCAAAAATTTTGATATTCGACACATCTGGAAGTGGCCCGGCATATGATAGTGCAACTGGAACTAGGGCAGCGGAGGTAGCGCCAGTATTGGTAGTATCAGTAGTATTTTCAGCATCAGTGGTGTTTGTCATAGTTTCTTAGATTGTACTAATTGAGAGCAAGAATTTCAATAATAACACTGCTTCAATATTATTTGTGAGCGGATACACGGATTGACTTGAGTCGCGCTAGGCACTATCTTAAGAAACTATTTTAGCAGTGTGAAATGTCTTTCCAGGATTAAACAAGCCTACCTCTATTAGGGAGTATACAGGAATCAGCAAAATATTAAATTACAAACCTAGCTAGCTAGTAAGAAAAGTAAATGAGAAAGCAAACAACTAATACACCCTCTGTTCCAGTTTATATGAACCTATTTCCTTTTTGGTCCGTTCCAAAAAGAATGAACCCTTTCTAAATTTGGTAACAATTTAGCTTAAACATACAACTCTACCCTTAATGAGAAGCTTTTATAACCACACAAATACTCTGGGCCCCATTTAGACTTGTTTAGGACCACAAATTCCAAAAATCTTCATTTTTTTCTTAAACTTCGTGCCCAGTCAAACAGATTCACATAAATTGGAACGGAGAGAGTATTTAATATTGGACAACAAAGTAGAAGAGAGGCATGAAAGGAAATGAAAGAAATGATGTTTTTGTTGTATGAAATTGGCTGAAGAGGAGTCCCTTTTATAGGCAAAAAGCTTAAGTCTTTTCTTGCCATTTGTCCAATATGATTTTCAAGACTTGCATGCATCTTGCCACATGGATGTACATTTGTCCACTTTTTGGAAATATTACAACAGAGCATCATTAATTTCTAAGATTTGGTTGGTTCTGAGTTTCAAATTGAATTTCGTATTTAAGGATATTTTATTCTCTTAAAAAGTATATTTACTTGATCGATGGTTAAACGAAGATATTTGTTTTAGTAATCACACTACTATACAAAAGAAGAGGAAAAGCTCACTTCAAAATTTCGCTTGCCGTACTACGTACTTGGCCTTTCTAAAACTTGCATATTAACTCCCTATAATATAAGAACAGTCCAAAGTGTCCTTGTAAAAGCCATGAGATTTAGGATCATATTCATGTTCTATTTCCTCCAAAAACTTGATTAGAACGTCCACAATATAAACCTCTTTGAGATTGCATTTCAGCAACTTCGGATCGATGCGGAGAACTCCAATTTCTGGAAATTTGAGGCACTTTGGTAGTGGACTGTGCAAAGAGTTTGTGTGTGTGTGTGTGTGTGCAAGTGTTCTGTGCAAAGAGGAAGCAATGGAGGCAGATTTTTGGTATATTTTTTGATATAAATTATATTCCTTTATACGTTGTTTATATAGAGAGCAATCAAAGCATTTCTTAGCATTTATATTTTTTGATATAAATTATATTCCTTTATACGTTGTTTATATAGAGAGCAATCAAAGCATTTCTTAGCATTTTGTCATCTGCTCTTCACCCTATAAGACTATTTGTTCCTACCAAAAACTACAGTCTGTTCATAGAGATTCCACAGAGTTGATCAAAGACAACCTCCGAATAAACTCATTATATTCTTCCTCATGACCTATCAAACTAATCCTCACAAACTTTTTACTGGAACCAAAATGCACACCGCCTCTAGTCAAAATCTTGTGCTTCCTGAGAAAAGTTTCACAGTCATCTATGGTCTTCTCACACTTCATCCATGCAAAAGCTGTAAAGAGAAGGAAAAAATGATAATTTATAGGATGTTATACCAAGACTACAACCGAAGATTAGTGGTAAAATCAAAGGCAGCTGATCAATTTGTATGCTATATATTACCAGGTTGTGTTCCAAATGTCCGATTGCTAAAGTTGCATTTCCCAACAGGCAAGTTTGGCAAACTAAATGTTTGGCCTTTGTTGACTGCCTCTCTCAGTTGTCTCCACCTCTTCGCCATTTCCTGATAGCCATAATCAAAGAAGCGTGTACTATCATTAGAGGTTTCAGTATGCTCATAAGTATCGGCAATAACGTCCAGGATTTTGGCAGCTCTGACTTGTGAATCTTTAGAGACGCCAATGCTGCTGATCTCTATAAATTTTACCATCTTTTTTGCAATTGCTTCATCCTTGACTAGTGCCCATCTGCAAGATTTAGACAGCATATTTCCATAAAATAAAAATCAAATGAGACACTGATACTACTCATGCTCGTGTAAACACATGCAACGTGCAACCTATAAGAATGTTATTTATTTTGTGAAAAAGTGATAGTTCACATCGAGAAAAGAATCAGCACTGGCTCATTTATTTTGTGAATTTGGTTTGTGCTATTTCTTCTTACTTGGAACAATATAAGAAAGTTCAAGTTTCATCGAAGTTGTTTAAATGGAGGTAATTTACCCAAAGTTCCGAAAGATTGAGAAACATATATTGTAGTCCAGGGTAAAAACATACCCTAAGCGCATCCCAGCATGTCCCGTGCATTTGGATAGGGTGAACAACATTATTTCATGGTCTGCCGGAGAAGAAATTGGAGTATACTGGGGCCAATAATAAGCTAGGTCGTGAAGCAATATCCCTCCACTCCCGTTGACCACAGGTTCCCTGATTGATCCATCAGGATTGTTTGGGTAAGTCACAAGCTCAACATAAGGTTCATCTCTGTCAAACTCATTGGCATCACCTCTCCACTTGTAGAGCCCAGATTTCAAGCATTCAGTGATCAGTGGGTATGACTGCAAGAAGTAAAAAACATGAATATGTGAAGTTATTTCTCTAACAAAACTATATATCATATGTTAGACTTGCTGAAAGTAGACAAGTTCCTTTCTTGGAAAGTCACAGAACTAAAGCAAGATAAATAAAAGGACAGAAAGTTAAATTACTACATGACTTCATATGCAGCTAAATGAGAAATTAATTTTTACAACCCTGATTTTTCCAATGCTAAGTTATTATGCCTGCAGCTGCCAACTTCTCTTGATTGAGAACAGAAGTTCATTATGGTTAGACAGTGTTCTGCTGAGATGACAGGTTTACAATAACAAAAACAACCCGGTAAAATCCCACAAGTGGTGTCTGCGGAGGGTTGGGGAGGATAGAGTGTACCCAGACCTTACCCCTAACCCAAGGGGGGAGAGATGGCAGGTTTACAAGTTAAAGGAAAATGAGTCTACTTATGGTGTAGTAGCTTTCTTACAACCAATCCTGGTGATATCCTAAATAAACATCTTAACCCAAGATATACTTTAAAGGGGAAGAGAAGGATGAATATTGTTCATTTAAGTTAGTTGTTTGACGGATAATTATGTGTTCTTATCTAAGTCATAACACGTACATGGAAGTCGCTTACTCATCTTTTTGCTTTCTAGGTCTGCAAGTGTTGGTTCACATGTTTTCCATAAACGGGCATAAAACCTGTGTTACTTGAACGGTTATCTCATACTCCTAACTCTCATACTCCAGTCTGAAGCATAAAGAGGATGAGTAACGGTATTAGATAGAGAAGGGAATAAAGATGGCTAAGGATCTCTGGGTTTGGGTATCCCTGAGTGCCAACTTAAAAGGGAAAACGTAGAATACAAGAAACATCAAATATTTAAAAGGGATCATTTAATCGGTCCCAGGGTAAAATAAGTTAGCACATCAATGTAGAAGGTCTTTAAAACATTTAAGAACAGTATAGTTTAAATTTTTCCTTATACAGGAAGCACTATCAAACAGGAAATATATAAAGCAGAAACATGCACCTCACCGAATCCAAGGAAACAAATAAGAATTCTAATGAAGAACAGTACTACTTATCATGCATGGGGTTGAGCTTATTTGGATTCAATTCTTTCCAAAATATATATTCTAACTCTATGAGGCACTGATAATCTTGTTAACTAAGTCCGGTAATACGTGAACATGTTAAAATACCTTTATTTGCCCAACTCTAACAAGATAAGAACTGGAATGAACTGCATATCTTAAAATCCATTGACAAAGGATATTATAATGTGCATCACCTACCGAATAAAATGGGGCAGCGGATACAATACTCATTGGCTCTGGAGCATCAGATGGACATAGGGCATATAGTACAGCCTGAAACAGTTGGGTAGATCCTGTCCCAACCACAATGTGTCGGTTTCCAGTCTCAGCATTCCCGACTAGATTGTGCAATCTAGTTACTGCATTTGCAAAACCTGGTTCCAGAAACCAGCAATGGGTTTTCGTATCCGAGAAATAACTAACAGATTGCCAACCAGATATGACAACTGTTGTTTTGTCCCCCATCTGCTTCCAATAACTCTGGTACATAGTCGGATCACCGCTGCATTGAGTGCAATAGGACATTAAAAAACTCATACTGTCTGAACATAGTGACTACAGAATCACGGCAAAAGATTCTCAAAGCGCATTAAATAAACACACAAGCACTCGTAAATGAATCGGGACTTCCTGTATAATTAGTTGTATTCGCTGGCACAGACAGTACTTACAAGATACGGTCAAGTAATAAAGACCTTAAGCTTCGCAAATGGATCAGGACTTCCTGTATAATTAGTTGTATTCGCTGGCACAGACAGTACTTACAAGATACGGTCAAGTAATAAAGACCTTAAGCTCCGCAAATGAAGTACAGTAAACCCATGCAGCAACGTTTAGAAAGTTAGCTATTAAATAATTATCGTGGTGATAATAATAGTACATTATTAAAGCATGTAAATCTGAAGTTCCTAATATTTAAGCAGCAGACTAAAGCAATCAGATTTACATAACAAATGCAAAGTGAAGTATCATACAACTAAGGAGGGTAGAAATCTAGACGGTGGTCCTCCTTACGACGATGTGAATTATTATAGAATAAAAGGTAGGTACAGAATGCAGAGTTGTGGACCCTGATCCATTAGAGGAAGAAACGATAGGATGACAGAGACCTAACTGCCAATACAAATATTGCGAAGTTCTAGTACTTATTTTTCTTTGTGTAATATTGGCCTTAGATGAGTTCAAATGGAAAAACATGGTGAGCGAGTACTCATAGCTGACCCCAACTTGTTGAGGACCGAGCATAGTTGTTGTAACAATTGGGCCAATTAAACAGAATTATCTACCATGCAGCTTCACAGCATGCGGGGCCATGTGGGAGCTGTTGCGAACCGAAGTTCGGCTTTGTACCCCTTGTTTATCAAGGATGAGGCTTGGCAGAAGTGCCAACAAAATACATTCTTCACACTAACTACTAAACGGTAGGGTGACCTAAAAATGGCTCCAAAAAAGTTGGTAAGTACAAAGACATGACCCCAATACATTTAAGACCAAGCAACACACCCACTTTTCCAAAATGTAAAAAGGGTGGGTCTTAAAGTGCACTTCCCAATCTTAAGGGTCCCAAGCATCAGTCTTTAGATTTTCTCAAGGACAAAAGGGGATCTTTATGCATCAGGTGCACTAAACCAAGAAAGACCCACAAACATGCATCTAATTACTAGTAGAGTAAAAGTAACTTTAAGCTAACATGGTGGCTTAGGAATCCAAAATGACCACCTTATGAAGAGTAAAGAAATATTAGTAAAGTATAAAAAGATGTTTTGTTGAGTAGTTTGAGGGTCATCCAACAAGTACATAGCACGAGAATGATAATGTCCGGTCAAACAAAGGATCAAGGACCACCATCTAAGGTGGTCTGAGAGGTTCGTGCATTAGCAGCAGAACCTAGCTTTGGGAACAGAGATCATTAAATACGAAGTGAAGCATTCTCCACTACTCCCTATAACATAATGCTCATTGGAATTCACAGCCAAGGAAAGATCTGTCTTTGTCTCAACTAGCAACTGACATAACGTAAACCACTCACTGCAAGTTACTCATTAAACAGTCCTAGCAGCCTGGCTATTATGCCTTTTGCTTCCTGTATCCTTTTAACTCAGTCAACAACTCCAAACAACAGAAGAAGTAAACAAAAAAGGTAAAGGAAAAAGAAAACACAACCACCAGCTAACTGTAGCCCAAGTTACACCACCCTCCTCCGGTCAAACTCAATCTTGCCCCAATGTTTATACACCGAATTAAGCAACTTAACATTAAAGCGAAAATACATATCACGTAATTAATATGCGATTATTGAACTGGTCTAAAGACTCTAAACATAAGATGTGTTTTACTTTCTCCTCTTATGTGCTATATGACATAAGCCCAAAGAGATTTTCGAATCTGGCCAATTTATTAGACCCTATTAACTTTTACAGATAGAACCCCAACCACCCTACTACCCGCCCCCTCCCAACACACAGACACACACCCCACAGCCACCTCCTCTTAACCCTACCGATTCCGGAAAAAGGGTAAAGTAACAAAAATCAGAAAAACATCGAAACCCTCTTCTCTCATATCAGTAAAACCTGTCATCCATCCATCACTGTTGTGTGTGATGACCTCCATTCCAGGCTTAATATCAGAAAGTATTGAGAACATGAAGTTTTGTGACATGCGGATGCTGTTGAACAGATCGGAGACGCTTTTACATCTAAGCTCAGACACAGATACGAGTATTCGACCGACTAGACTGATCCCGACCTTTATCGATTGGTCATCTCAGTTTTTAAAGGGAGAAATTGCGGGTGAATATTCTACTTTTACCCGATAAACCATCATCCTGACCATTTGGTACAACTCATGCATTCTTGTAAAACAAAAACCAGACAAAGTAACACAAATACGCTTCATCAACTCATAAAAGTCCGTTGAGGAAAAAACAAGAATTTTGGAAGAGTATCTGATAAATATATCTCAGGCATGCATTGGCAGAAATGTTAAGCAGATTGGTTCGGCAGCAGCAAGCACCTTTGAATTTTTTGGCAAAAAAGATATACTAGTAGATTTTTTTTAGGGAAAGGAGTAGGAGGACATGCAGTGCAATTAAACAATGGTTAAAGAAAAGATCTTACTGGTCAAGATTTATGAGCTGCTGTTGTATTAGCCCTTCATTTCCCTGCTTAGCCTGGGTTGTAAAAGAAGCAGAGAAAGATGAAAGAGGAGCTTCATTCTCTTTATTAAACATTTCATTCAGGCCAGGCGACCAGACCATCTGTAAATGACCATCATGAATAAGCTTAAGTAAGAGCCCAAAGTTAATCGCCACAGAAACAACAAGCCAATTGACTGACACCGGTAGCAACGCCTGGCCCTTAATTTTCACCGGACCTGACACTTTGGACGGCATTTTTACAACAAAAGAGTATATGAAAAATACAGTAAGTGAGGGACTGAGGGGAGTGAGGGCTAGCTCTAATGCTCTATGTTGTATTGTGTTTGAGATGGGGTTTGGGTTGTTATATATAGGGGTGAAGGTAGCGGTTTTAGCAATGGACTCTGCACAGCTGGAAGCGGTGGTAAGTGAGAGTTTGACTCATTTACTCTTAAGGAAAATTAAACTCTTCCTGATCTTCTCACTAGTTTTGTGTAGTCGTTACGATCCAGATATAACTAGAAGACAAAAGAAAAAATTGGCTTTGATCAGAATCTGCTCTGTAGTACATGCACAATCCCACATATGAAGAACTCGAATGGATGGGTGTAACAAAATCTAATACACAGCAGTGTAATCTCGAATGTAGATTCATGTGCAGATGGGTTTCATTGATGATTCACAGTTGGGAGAAGAAAACACTGAAGCATTGGCGTTTTCTGGGGAAAAAAGTTGGACCTAAAATGGTGGGAATATTTTCACGGAAAATTGCTATATTTTGAAAAAACAGTGATCAAGCTTAGGAAGTAGAAGTAGCACTGTTAAATTGGAACTCTTCCTCTTTCCCTTGATTGTCTTAATCTTCACCTATAAACCGCATATATATATATATATATAGAGAGGAGTGTGTGTATATTAGGAGTAGAATATGTACGAGACTTAAGCCAATAAATTTGGAATTTATTTTCAAATCTGCCATAAATTTTGTTAATATTTTAGCCAAATCTGAGCTGATTTTGAGCCAAAATCCCAAAACTTAGAAATTATATACATATTTTTTCAAAATAAAATTAGAAAATATATTTTGAAAACGTATATCCAAACACATTTTCATCTTTAAACCAAACTTCTACCAAATTAAATTTTTCAAAATAAATTTAGAATTTATGGCCAAAGCTAGCTTATTAATTTGGCATACTGTAGATATGGCGAGATGGGTTAAAAAAGCTGCCACTCTTATGTGAGCCTGTGCTCTGTGGTGCACACTTCAACTCTAATTCTTCTTTTGCCTTTTTTATTTCTTTTTTTATATATTCTCTTTTTTCTTTTCCAATTATTGTTTAACTTTTTCACACATATTTTACGATTTTGAAATTTGGCTAATTTCTTCACTTATAAATTTCAGTAGGTCAATGTTGTATTTTGCCTAAATTAAAAAAAAAATTGAACTGTTAAAAGATAATACTACGTAGCCAATAAAATATTTTAATATATATATTATTCACTTTTTAACTAATAAATTTAATTAGTTTTGATAAATCGACCAAATTTGTATTTTGCCATAATTAAAGGTACCACTTATTATTAAAATCCAGCCAGCTCTTCCTTGAACGACAAAGGAGATCAATTTTAACAAATGTGTTAGCACTTTACAACGGTGCTCTGCAGTAACAACCTGTTGCCGAACCCCCAAACCTAATCTATATGCTTGTCAGACATTTTTAATTGTAACTCTCGTTTTGCTTCAAGATTGAATTATTTTCTACATCATTTTTACAGCATCCATTTTTATCCCAAATACTTAGCTCTCATTTGGTCATTAATTTTTAGCAATCTTTTTTCAATTTTTTTAAATATTGTTTCTGTATGAAATATGATCAGTTTTTAAATTAAAAAAAAAAAGTCAAGTTTCCAAAAACTGATTTAGGGTCCCTTTTTAGTAACAAAAAATTCTTCTACTCACACAGTTTCAATTTTTATTTGTAAATAAAATACATGTTCAAATACAACTTTAATTTTCAAAAATTATTTTTCACTCGACTTCAATAATTATTTTTTTATATTTCAACTAAGTCTATATCCAAACATTAGCTTCGTTTACGTGACTTCTGATCTCCACCGTAATTGTTATCTGTAATATGAATAACTCCACAAGATAAGATCAAATCTTAGACCGTTAGAAATAATGTTACAAAAAGGTGATCATAATTAAATTAACCATATCCATTAAAATCTCGTTCTAGTTATTGATAGGGGTAGAGCTAGATATTTTCTGTTCGATGACTATAATCACATAGAACCTACAAGTTTGATGTTAATTCTGCATGCAAGAGCTTGTCGCGTTAGTGGACTCGATTTAAATAAAGGAATAAAACTGTGGTAAGTTAAAAACGAGTCAATTTGAGAATCCTCAAGATGCAGATAAGGAAACTTTAGGAGTAATTGTTGTACAATTTTGACGTTAAAATTTGAATACAAATCGCGAAAAATCTCTTCCTCACTGTAGGATCTCGTCTAAGACAAAAATCGTCACCCATGATATATTTGAAGTAGTAAAAATCTTATCCTCCATCTATAGCTCTAGTAAAAACCCAAAAAAATCTTCCTTTATATGGAAAAGTATAATGATCGGTTGGGATCTATGTAATAAAGGAATCAGGAACCCTAATAAACACTCTAAAAATTTTGAATACAAATCGCGAAAAATCTCTTCCTCACAGTAGGATCTCGTCTAAGACAAAAATCGTCACCCATGATATATTTGAAGTAGTAAAAATCCTATTCTCCATCTATATCTCTAGTAAAAATCCAAAAAAATTCTCCTTTATATGAAAAAGTATAATGATCGGTTGGGATCTATGTAATAAAGGAATCAGGATCCCTAATAAACACTCTAACACCAATATTTGGGACTCAAATTGGACCCCAAAATTCAAGAATCTCAGGCAAGCAATCCAAGGTCCAACTACCATACAAGATAGTAGCCTCACTATAAAGGACATCTGGGTGAACAGTGCTTGGGAACTTAGAAAAGTATCCTTTGAGTTACCCAAACCCTTGATCAACAGCATTCTTTCTATTACCCTTATGGAGTGTCCCAATGACATTCCCACTTGGACTCTAACTGGAAATGGCAAATTCACGTCCAGCTCTTGTTACAAAGCAATTTCAAATACAGACAACAATCTTCTAGACTTCGGTTGGATATGGAACCTCAATTGTCCCAACAAAATAAAATATTTCCTATGAAATGCCTACATAATAAGCTTCCTACTCGTTCCTATCTCAACTATATTGGTATTAATATAGACCCTTTTTGCCCAACCTGTAAAATAGAAAATGAAACCAATGAGCACATCTTCATTAGGTGCAAAATGGTCTGTGATATCTGGACTTTAACTTGTCTCAATAATGACCCCAATAGGCATAAAGATGATTGACTTATTACTATAAGAGATCTTAATATTCCAACACTATCACCCCTCCTCAAATGGTGCGAGCTATTCCCTTTTATTATTTGGAATATTTGGGTTAACAGAAATAAAAACAATATGAATAATACCACCCACTATGCTTCCCTCGAAAAAGCTATCAAGAATGCCACTGAATTTAAACTCCTCACTCATAATGAACAATTGCGGGCCCACACTCATGCAATCAGCATAATGTGGTATAAACCTCATAATGGCTATCTGAAACTAAACTTTGATGTGGCTTTTCATGAGAAAGAATATTTGGCAGGTCTAGGAGGAATCATCCGAGACAGTAATGGCCATTGGATTCTGGGGTTTCAGCACCAAAAACCAGCATCAACTGCCCTTCACTCAGAGTTGGAAGCTCTCAAAGAGGGTCTCACCTTAGCTTTGAATAAGGGACTGCTTCCAATAGTGATAGAAACTGACTCAACTGAGGTTATTAAAGCTCTAAACGAGGATTACAAATCTCACTACATGACTATCTCTTTTTGCATGTGGTTAATGCACCAGCTTAAGGACCTACCAATCCAGCATAACTTTAGGGATGGAAACCAAGTTGCGCACAAGCTAGCAAAGGATGTTCTCAACAATCCAAAGTCTCATGTTGTGTTAGATTAGCCTCCTCCTTTTGTTATAAACAAGCTTAATGCAGATAGGGATGGCCATGTTTACCTTACTAAGTCTTTAAGTACTAGTATCTGTGTTAATCTTGCCAACTTAGGCAATATCAATGTCATTAAATCCTTCACTTATGAGGATTATGTAACAAACTCTATTCCGTAGTACTAATATATCTATTCTTGTTTGTCAAAAAAAAAAATAAAGCAGTAAAAATCATTTTAGATGTCTCTCTTGTCAGTGGGATTATTATTTAAGAGAGAGGTAGAGAACTCAGTTTTAGGGGTTGTTTTGCAATTTTTAAAACCTGAGAGAATCTCTGATGTAATAAAAAAGAGTTGGAAAGGAATGTCTATAAAGCCATCACTAGTAGAGGCCAGAGGCTGGCTACGCTGGTGCGTCTTGAGGGCATCTCCAACCTTGCCCCAATCCCCCATAATGGGGGAAATTTTTGGGGGAATTTTGCTCCGACCCTCCCCCATTTCTGTCCCCAAAATGGGAGATGAATAGTGTTCCCTCAAATATGGGGGTACACTAGTCATCTCCCCCATTACTATTCATCAATTTTTTATTATTATTTTATTATTTAATCTTTTAATTTATCTCTTTATATATACCTAATTATGTTTATGTAATGTCTTTATAATATTAATATTATATCTTAACTTTGGTGTATAATTTTGATAAATTAATTTTCGTGCATTTATTATTTTTATGTAAAATTATAAGTTAATTTTATTATAAGTTAATTGTAAAAAGAATATATAATTATCTCAAAAAATGAATGGTGCAAATATAAAATATTAGATGTTGTTGAAATTGAAAGGTGCGAATATAAAATATTATATTTTGATTAATCTTTTATCGCAATGATTTCACTTTTATTTGAATTATTAGTTAATCTATAATAATTGCTTACAAATTATATTATTTAAAATTTTATGGAATTGTTTTAATTATGAAAATTACAAATTAATAAAAATAAAAGATGGAATTTGTTTAATGGAAATTAAAAAATAAAATTAAAATGAAAGATAATAATATAATATAGAAGAGAGAGAAGAATATAAAAAAGTTTGGGGGGAAAAATGGGGGAATGGTTGGAGTAAGTTGTCCCCAAATGAGAAAATTCCCATTTTGGGGACAAAAAATAGGGGCAAGGTTGGAGATGGCCTGATTTGGTCGGGTCGGCCTCCCATAAAACAAGTAAAGCAACTACTTTAGGTTTAATATTTGTGAATGTCCTATTTTTTGTTACACCTAATAGATTATGTATAAGTTTAAAAAAAGGTTATGTAAAGTAAAAAAGTTTGATTTCTTTCTTTAACAAGTATAGGGAAGAAGGATTTGCAACTGCTATGATTTCTGCCAAGAAAATTGCACTTGAAATGAATATCGAACCCGAATTTTATAAGAAACACATGATATATAGGAGCTAACAATTTGATGAGAATCTCAAAATCTTTCGAAGAGTCTTTGGAGTTGATTACTTTATACATAGTAGACAAGACTATTTTTTTCACTTCAAATAGATTTGAACAATTCGAAGCATATGAAAATATTTTTGGTTTTCTATTAGCGGTAAAAATTAAGATCACTAGATGATGAATATTTGAAAAATTTTTGCCTTAATCTTGAATGTTCCTTAAAGCATAATAATCAATTGGATATTGATGGTTTAAATGTATTTTCGGATAAAAAATATTAAGAAAAATAGTACAACTAGAAGATAACAGTTTAATTGATACACTCGGTCAAATAAAAAAATTGATTCTTTTC